TGCCCCCAAGTCCCTCTCGGCAGGGCTGCTCTCAATCCTTTCTTCCCCCAGTGTGTACTGATACTGGGGGTTACCCCGACCCAGGTGCAGGAGTTTGCATATGTGAGTTTGAGATGTATTTGAAACTAGGTTGCCCTCCCATGACCTTGTTTAATAGGACTGGCACTTTATGCGAATAGACCTTTTTTCTGTTTGCACTGTAATTTATTTTTCTCCTTCATGGTTCATACACTGTGCTGGTCTTACAGATAGTCATCTAAATCTGTCATATCCTATGCATGAGGGTCACCACGGTTAAAGTGGATACTAAGGGCATTCCAAATTGGCAAATGAGATATAGGAAGGATTTTTAATGTGAAAACTGGGTAAATCAGGAGTCGTTTGGTTAAGTAATAGATTTAATCTGATTGTATGTCACCCATAGAAGGGTATTTCATAACATTAAAAGGCTTCAGGTCCAAATAATGTTTCCAAGATACAGCTTGTGGGAAGAATATTCTCAGTTAGTATACATGAGAAAATGGGAAGATAAACCTCTGTCCCTTAATTTTTTCTCTTGGTTGTGTAATCTGTATTGACAGGGAGTCATTCTCCAAACAGCACATTCTGTGGATGCTGTCTGAGGGTGGGGTGATTTTCTTCATAGTCATGGGAAAAGTACCAGCCTGATCCTCAATTAGATGTTAATTTAGTGAGGCATTTTGGAAAATAGAAGCTTCACAACTGCCTTTAATAAAGATGCAGAAACATGGTGTGAAATTGTATTCACCAATTAGAATAATCATTATCTACAGTATGGTTTAGGGATGTATAATTTCAGGCTGACATGCAGTCTGAGGTATAGCCTTTCTGGCCCCGTGAAATCACTGGAAGTCCAGCATTTGCCACACTGGATCAGAGCAGTGGTTGTCAAGTAAAAGGCAGTGTCCTGCCCTCTAAAATATCTAGAAATGCATAAAATTAACAGTGTAATGTTGTAGACGGTGACTCCTTTGGGTTCTACAATACACTTAAATCTGTGGTAGAAGTTATGATCAGCAAGCTTCTCTGAACTGGCAGTAGAATGTAGTAGTCTTATGCAGAATGGAGCATAACTAAAATCACACTTCATATTTTTATGGTTTCAAAATATGTAAATTATTAATGAAATTTAACAATTCCACCTGTTGATATGCATGCATTAGTGTAATAGTGCTAAATTATGGTAATTTTGTAGATAACCTTGTTGAAAGGAAAGTTTGGATCAGAAGTTAGATAATTTTCTGCACAAAATAGGTGTATTCTCAGTTCATATTTACATGTATGTTTACACGTTGAGTATATTAGGTTCAGCATTGCTGTACCTTGATGCTAAAGGTAAAAAAGCTGCAGGGCACTCCTTTTTATTAAAGTCAGGAGAAGCATTAGGCAACTGATCTAAAAAATTGTTTTTGTGCTTCTTGTCTTGCCTGTGGTGTAACCTCAATTCCTAATAGTCAGGTAGCTATAATATGCTGTAACATGTATTATTTCTCTTTTTGCTTCATGAATTTCTTAGCCTCAAAACATTCTGATTTGAAACGCCTGACATATTTTATATCTTAGCTAGGAATTTCCTTTCCTCTTATATTGCTTTTGTAGGTCCCAGAAGCCATAAGAAAGTGCCAGCGAGCTGGAATTACAGTCCGCATGGTCACTGGAGACAACATCAACACAGCACGTGCCATTGCCATAAAATGTGGAATCCTTCAAAGGAGAGGTAATTCATATGCTAAACCTATACATATATATGTTATTAAAAAATAGCGCAAACACCGAAATGTTGTTTCTCCTGCACTGATGTATGCCCCATATCAGGAAAGACTACTTGGAGACATTGCTACTTTCTACTGCTAGCCTTTTGCAATTCAAATTCAAAATACCATTGAAAATGCGGTCATGAGATGGAGCCACTATGAGTTTAGTGCTAGCCTAATTCAGCAGTTTTTAGAACCGTAGCACTAGGCTACAAGAAATCAAAACCAAGTACATTAAAAGCAGGTTTGTTAGCAGAGAGAAGGAACTCAACAGCAGTTTGTAGGTCTGTCTCGTAAAAATGCAATCTGTGCTGAGAACCAGCTTCTCTCATTTCTTTATTTTATAGCACTTTATCTAATGTACTGCCCTATCCACTGACTCTAATGATCTGCATAACTTAATCTATTCTTTGGAAGATTGTAAACTCCTCATAAAAGATGGAGCTAACACACAGGCCATTGAAGTCAGCTTTAAAAAAATCAACCCTTACACTGTGTCTCTGAGTCTATCATTAATGAATGGACACAGTCGTTTACTCCTTGCACTGACTGATGGAATCCTTTGTCCTTGCTGCTATTGGTATACAGAGAAAATGCTGCCATTAATGATGCCAAAAGTAAGAACTTGGATTCCAATGTGGAATAGAACAACAGACTTTTACCTGTAAACGTGCTTTATCAGCTATCAGGATCCACTATCCTATATCTAGAGTCATGATTCTGAATGGAATTATCCAGAAAGATGCTAAGAAAGGTTGATTAGATACTGTAGCAAAATTTACCTGTTAGCCAATTGCTGAGCTTTGGTAGTAGAAAACTACCTTTTTTGACCTTGCCTTCACTTGCAACACTGATGGCTGCTGTAATTTTTCTGTGCTTTTGGAGAAAAGTTGCAGATCTGAGTAGTGAATTGAATCATCTGAAACATGAACACAAATATATTTTGCATTTTGCTAATCATAAGCTAACAGTTTTACTGGTTTGGGTGTGTGTGTGTGTTTGTGTTCCCCTGCTCCAGATTGAGCAAGAGCGGATTGACAAAATCTGGCCAAAACTTCGAGTGCTTGCTCGCTCATCTCCCACGGACAAACACACTTTGGTAAAAGGTGCGTGCAGACTACCTTCGCGCATGTGTGTAATTAATGCCAAAGTTATTAAATTATGTTTGGCACATCATCTGCCTTGTAAAAATTGTACTGTTACAAATATATCTGAGTTGTTACCTTTAATTACACATCTATACGTAATGCAAGGAAGTTTTCTCAGTAACCAAGTCTCTTGTGTTCGTATTCTACCAAAGCCTTCACATGGAAAATAATAGGAAACTGGTTGGCAGGAATAACAGAAATACCAATAAGATGTCTGGCAAGTAGATGTAGGCAATCTCACATTTGCCTTGTGACATTCAATTGGACTAGAAACAAGGCTGTAGCTGGGAAGGGAAGAGATGCTGGTCAGAAAGAAAATATTGTTGAGAAATAGGTTGTTCTCAATATAAACAACAGGAGGCATAGATTTTGTAGTCTGCCTATATCCCTTTATGACGAAAACAAGAGCAAGTTCGTTTAGAGTGAGTTGAGTCACTCAAGTGCATGTCTTCTCCCACAATTATTTTTAAAGAGTATTCCAAGATGAAAAACTTTTCCTGTTACAATAACAGTTATTGAAGGTGACCTAACTAGGAGCTGTCCTCTTTAGTGTTACATGAATGGAGATACGTATTTTAAGCCAAGTCCCTTTTGCTATAGGCTCACTAACTGTATGATTTGCATTGGCCTCCTTTACATTTCTGGCTGTATTTTTAGAGTCTGATTTTGTCCTATAAAAACAGCACCATATAAATTATACTCTTTTACCATACTGTCTACAGATGGAATGCTCCATAAAAGACGGATTTGTTTGCAGTTTTCTTTTATAAAGCCTTTTTCATATCTGTAACTCACACTTTTTGATGACTTTGATGATCTTATTCTGTTGACTTTGAAGCTCACACTTAAAAGACAGCTGATGAAATCAGAAAATTTCTGATCAGGAATAACATCATTTCTGGACATGATAAGATGGGGTTTTAATAGATGGATTTTTAAAATGCCTAAATTACTTTAGAGCGTAAGTTCCATTGTGAATTTGAAGATTGGATCAGTTGGGTCCTTTGGGATTGGGACCAGTGTACATGAAGAGGTCTGGAAGCATGGATCATTCAGGAAAAATAAGATATCTTGTAAGCCCTGGCATGGCGCACAAGATGGGGCAGCTGGAAGCATACTGCTGTTACACACCCTCTCCAGCCACTGTTTAGACCAGTGGTCTCCAAAGTAGGGTGCACACAAGTCAGGGACAATCCACTGGTATGCAGGAAGAAAATACTTTTTACCATTATTAAAGAGAATAGTATTTTAAAAATACTGTTTATTTCATCTCATTGTTTTCTAGTGTATGTTTTATAATGTACATCATATAGTAGTATATATGTATAATTTATAAATGATACACATATTTTTTGTGTGTGTGCTCAAAAAGATTTACCAATAGGTGTCCATGACTGAAAAGGGTTGGAGAGCAGTGATTTCGACAACATAATTAGCAGCTCCATAGGTCAATATAAAACAGCACAAAGTTAGCTGAAGTATCCTCACTTCCCTAGTGCCTATAAAATCTGTCTTACAGCTCTTAGAGGACATGACTTGTATGGCCTAATAGTTTATTTGTTTCAGAAACTCACAACGATTTGTGTTTCATTAAGTGGATTAAATAAGTCCCTTGGGAAGTACTCATTTGAATCATTCAGGATTTTCCCTTAAGAGAAAACCGATACCTTTGCCAGAGAAAATGAAATCAATAAAGAGCTGAAGAAAAATAAAGAACAAATTATTGATGTTTTATAGCATGTGTACTTTGACAATGCAAGAGATAGTTACTACTGCTGAATGCTTTATGCAACTAATAGAGTTAATGTTTTAAAGATGGTACAAGGTCAAATGATCAAGCAGTTAAGTATCTAACAAAGTTCAAGAACAAGTCTGTGGAAAATCACGATGAAATTTTTTGGCTGGTAATACTCCAAGGGCCATTAAAAGTTACAAGAAACTATTTAAGTGTTCACTAGTTTTGGAACCCTTGTTAAATGTTATGTTTTTCTCAGCCACTTGAAGGATCAAGAGGATTTTCTCTTCTTTGATGTATTCTATCTGCTCTAGGGTAAAAACACACATCGCAAAACAAACTTTTTTATATTTAATTTTTAATGACATACAGATGCTGGAGGGAATATTTTTTCTCCTTAACATGGCACAATCCCACCCAGCAAAAGGATCATTTTTATTTTGCATTTCTGTTTTCACTACTGCTAAGGGACTAGAGAAAGGCATGGTTCAGCATTTCAGGCTAGGCCAACAGTTTCCTTGAAATATTTATGGCTTTGAAGTAGAGATAGATGAAGAAGAAAAAAAAAAAGGTCAAAATGGTTTATCATCATGAATTATTTCAGTGAAACAAAAGTTAGATATCTCAATCCAACTGAAATACAATTTCTTATGCATTTTATGACATTCATTGGTGTTATTTAATTTTTTTACCCTATTTCAAAGTGAACATACATATAATTCATAATGGTGTGTCCTTATAATACTATTGCTGAAATACTTCAATATTGTTGTATTGTTTTTTAAAATACTATGGGAAGCAACTGTTTAGTACTGATGCGAAATACAATCTTCTTATCAGAAAATATAGAAAAGATCAAATAAATATTCATAATATCAGTTAAAGAAGCTGTGCTTTCCAATACATTTAAATTAGGCTGCAATTATTTTTCTGTGATATCAAACCCAACCATTCTATTCTCATCTAATGCTGATATATTAACAAGCAGAAGGGGAACTTTAAAGAAGAAAATATTTTTAATAATTACCCTTAATTACTAAAATATTTCAAATATTATTGCATGGGATGGCATTATATCCATGACCTCATTAATGTGGACATGCCATGAGACTAGGTAGAATAATAGAAATACAGAAAAGTCTATTGATTGAAATTCTGAAATTAAATATCAGCATGTTGTAAATGGCAAGTGGGTTTGAGTTCCATTTGGGAGAAAATTTTAATATTTATTTTTATTCAAATTCATATGAGGAAGTATTCAGAAAGTTGACCTGTTCCACGGTGTAAAAAGTCAGCTTCAACCAACTCTTCCCTGAAGCAAAGCACACAAAAGTAGTTTAAAGGAAGCAGGAGGTAATACTGCATTTGAATTTATACTCTGTAAATACCATTTAGGTCTCTGTTAAGTGTAACTCTGTGGGAGGCACTGATGCCTTCAAGGTTCCCCTTTAGTGTTTCAGTCTCGCAAATCACATGGGTGGTGCATACTTAGTACAGAAATCCGTGCGCTTCAGCCATGTCCTTCTCTGCCATTCTAATATCATGAACTTTGTGGAGCACCATTCACTTAATAATTTCCTATGCTGTCTGTAATGTTATATCTTAACACACTTTTACATTAACCTTTAAAGCTCTATTCCTGCACATGTAACTAAAGTGAATTTAAATTTTCTCTTTCAGGCAGACTTTCTAAACTCTTGTTAAATCAACAGGGAGCTTCAAAAGTTTGGAAGTATTAAAAACTAATCTGAACAGAACATGCCTATGAAATATACTACTGCATCTGTCTATGTTTAGCTTGTCAAAGAAATATAAATAAGCATATGGGATGATCAGCTTTCTTGCATCAATAACACCTGAAATGTTGTGGATCTTTGAAGTGCTCAACTGTAGCTAAGATTTTCCTGTCTGCCAGTTTTAAGTTAATCAGCTGAGACAGAAAGAAGTATCTAAACCAGATTTTTTTTTCTCCCAGAACCAGCAGTTTCTTACTGATGCAACTCTAAGGGTGACGGTGCACATAATAATTGTTTAAATAAAGTGGCATTTGTTCTGCCATAAAGGGATATCCTGAGGCTATGCTTGATGGCTTTGATCTGAGCCACGGGTACAGGTAGCTTCTTGTAAAAGAAATGGAATACACATTGTTAGTTGATATTCTTTATATTATTATCCCAAGTGGATTTGATGGGCTTGCTTAATGTTAGATGGGAGGAAGGTGGGAGATCCAGGATTTTACTTCCAGCTGTGTATGCAGTGCTGGTACCTTTTATAGCAAGCTTGTGGATATAGTGCCCTGCTTGATAGCTATACATAGTTGTTTTAAATGTGATCTTTTCCCTCATCAGAAACAAGCTGCTTGCTCTGAAAAACTTCTGCCTTATGCAAGCTACATGACTCCTCCCCAAATTCCGGCAGCATCAGTGGAATCTGTGTGTGGGACACACTGTAACGTTATGCTCCAGGTGTATTCCTGTGACTGAATAGAATTGGTTTTGACAGAAGAAAGTCATGGCCAAACAGCTTAAGATGAGGGAACAGACCAATGAAACAGCAGAGGCTGTTTTGGGAGGAAGCTTTGCTGAGTTTTAGGAATTCCCCAGCTATCCCTTGCAGGCCTGTTTTTATTAAAATACCGTATGTAAGCATTCAACTGGAGCAAAGCAGTTTACGTTGAAGAAATTTCCTGGCTGTTTGACATGACTAATTGATACTGAAGTTTCTCCTTAGTTCTTTTGAATGCGTGGAAAGGCCTGTGAATGTTAAAGAAATGGGCATTGTCTTTATTGGCAATGTCAGGTCATGCCCTTACTTAAATTTTTCACTGATCACTGAAGCAGTTATTCTCCACAGCTAAAAATTGCAGAAGGAGAACCCTTCCTAGATGTCCCTCTTCTGTCTGGCCTCCTTACACTGTTTCTAAAATTTATACAGACATATTACTCAATACTGAAGAAAATTCTTGAGGTGAAACCTTATCACAACTATTAAAGAAATTATATCAAAGAAAGAAAAAAAAAGTAGAAGGAAGTGTGGTTAGGAAGGAGTCAAGTGCTGGAAAGATGACAAACATTCAGAAATGTGAGGAAGGGGAGAGGAGAAACAGAATAAAAAGAGCATGCAGAAGTCAAGGAGCATAGGAATAGCTATTATAAATGCTCTGCATCCCAAATAATCACTACTGCTCCATTTTAGAAATTTGTCTGACGTACAAATGAAAGTTCCACAAAGATCTTCTCTCTTCCTATGAATAGCACTGAAGTCCATCCCCATACAGCTGTGCCATGCACTGCCATATTTCTGATGCCACCAGCAGTGGCCACTGCGATGGAGGTGTGTGGCTGAGATGCTGATGGTAACCAAGACCATTTTATCTCTATTTTCCCATGACTGCTGATTATGCAGTTCTGTGCTCTGGAGGGTGTTGGGCTTATCCTGGCTGTACAGTTTGCCTTTAGGGATAAAAATGACTACTAAACCTCGTGAATGACTACTAAACCTTGTAAATGACTTAGCTGCATCCAGCAATTGCTTGATGCAAGGCAGTTGATAGTATAGTTGTTGACGTTAGAGTATGATTTATATCTATTAGGAGGTCATTTGTTAGAGCTTCTTCAACTTGATTTGGGTTGTGCTCCCATTTGGAATCCAGTTGTGAGAGGATGCTGTCTACCTGTTTGGAACAGTTAATACCATGATGTGTGAGAGATTTTAATGATTTTTTTCAGAAGCCTAAACTATTAATTTAACATCAAAGGATGTGTTAATAGCAAGAAGGGAAGACTGAGATAAATGCTTTTAACAGTAATGGCAGCTGATGTTCCTGTTTATTTAGTAATACCAAAGGCAAATCACCCCAACAAATTGAAAACTCTAATTATAAGATCTTATCAGAATACTGTGCCATTTGTCTGACTTCATACTGCCAATGGAAAGTGAATAAGTTTTTCTCTGATTTTCATAAGGCTGAAAAATACAGGACACTAACTGCTTCCACCCCACATTGCAATCTTCCGGATGCCTGATAAGCCTGAACCTTGCCAAGAGGCAACTATTGCTCTATAATCTGCAATTTCTTATTTCTGGTTAGTTATCTGATATGTGTTATTTTTTTCCAGAGTAGAATGAAAGCCTTTCACACTGGGTAGGTTTTGATAACTGTTTTTAGAGGTTACAACTTGATAATTGTTTTTAGAGGTTACGACTCCGGGCAAAATATGTTAGCAAAAGGAATTTTGTCATTTCCGGGTCCGTCCCTTCCCCCCCCGCCCCCAAGTTATTAATTGGAGAGGTGTTCTTGTATCCTACAAAACAACCCTGTATACTGGACTCCTATTCAAATGGACTTTGACATGGAAATAAAAACATGAGTGGTGAGTGATTCCCATCCTATTAAAAAACAGGGCTGCTTCTGTAATCTGAGAAAAAAATCTTTATTCTTTTCCTTACTACTTTCCCCATCTGCTTAAGTGGAAAATACTTCCCTGCAGGCCAGTTACATGAAACTTGATTCACCAACTGAGAAGTGCTTTCTTTTCTCAAATTATCTCAAAATGAAAGTAGAAATTATTTTATTATGTCTATTTATTAAAATGTTTGTCTCCAGAATGTGAAGAATTATTTTATATCTTCTTAATCATTGTTTGGCAGAATGGAACATGTCTGTTAAAATGCTAATTTGATTCCAGCTAAATAAAATTCATCAATGGCATTTGTTATCTCTAGGTTAATTGCCCAAATGCATCCCAGTAAAGCAGATACTACAGTTCAGTCCCAGTCATCATAAGCATGAACTTAAGTCTTTGGCAAATCCTTTCCATTGATGTTTAATCATAGCGCTGGGCTGAAATGGGTTTACTGTGACACATAATTTTAAATAGTAGAAATCTTCCAAAAGAACGTAACGAGCTGATTTCATTCCCTTTGAAGGCTACACGAGTTTTGTTGATTATGTGATAATGCCGGATCAGAACTTTCTGTGTAGATTCTAGTGTCTAGTAGCGTATGGTAGTGATGACACTGCTTTCTCTCTATTTCCCTTTCTTAATCTCTGTAAGACTTTTGTAGTATTATGTAGTCCATATTCCACAGACCATGCTATTTTTTAGAGGGAAGTTCCATCTTGCTGATCATTTTATATATAGGTCTGTATACACACAGTATGTGTTTTTTGCAGGTATTATTGACAGCACGCAGGTGGAACAGAGGCAGGTTGTAGCTGTGACTGGTGATGGAACCAACGATGGACCAGCACTTAAAAAAGCTGATGTTGGATTTGCAATGGTATAATCTTGAGCATATTTATCGATGTTTGTGTCATTATAAATTTGCTGTAAGAGGTTTTTCATTCATTAAGGGTTGAGAAAGTTGCTTAGTTATTACTTGTCAGTGAAGAAACATATTGGAGGGGGCGAGTTATGTTGCTTCAGAATCCTTTAATTTACTATGTTAGGTTCACTGCTATTGCTTGTTTTGATGGTTTTTCAATATTTTGTCTAAGGTAATTATTGGCTATATGCAGAATCCTGTACCAATACAGAAAAATGAACTGTGTTCTTCACAACAGTGGAGTACTATTTTGCTTTGGTAAAACCCATCACTAATTGTAACGATCTCTTACCAACGTACTCTGACTCTGAAGACATTAATATACTTGACTGTATATTAATATTAAGATACATAATTCTAATTTTTGTTAGCAATCCTGTTCATGTATATTAATAAAATATCATCAATGATAAAAAAACTCAGAAGATCAGTAGTCATTAAGCTGATAATTAAAAACACACAAAACTATGATCACATGAATTCCACTGCTCTCTATCAATTCCCTTTTCTGTATCCTTATTCACTTTCAAAAATAGGCCACGTTAGCTAACTTTAGCAAACATAAAATGCAGAATATAGTCAGCAGTCACTGTTACTATGCTGGGAAGTCTCTGTGTAACTGTGGACTTTGAATGAATATGAACTGCCTCTGTACTTTTTAGTAGGTAATTTTATTCACAATTAATTTTTCCAGGGTATTGCTGGCACAGATGTTGCAAAGGAAGCCTCAGATATCATCCTAACTGATGACAATTTCAGTAGCATCGTGAAGGCTGTAATGTGGGGACGTAATGTCTATGACAGTATCTCCAAGTTTCTGCAGTTCCAGCTCACTGTTAACATTGTGGCTGTGATTGTGGCTTTCACTGGAGCATGCATTACCCAGGTAAGGTTAATTTCAGGTGCTGCTTAAAGTATGGGGCTAAATCCAACCAAGCTACATTTTCTTTTAAGTAATGGTGGCTTACATTTGATTCTTACTTCATGCAACGGAAAGTATGCTCTCTGAGCATTAAGAGTGTGTTTAGGATCAAGCTGCTACGTGTTAAATAGCTGTTGACATAAGGAATTGTACTAATCCATTTTCTCCTGGAACTAAATTGCTTTTAGGAGCTGCTAATTTTTGTGCTGCCTCCATATAGTTCCCTATTTTGATTACATATTATTGCCATGACTGAGCCTGTGATCATAGGACAGAAAATGTCTGGGACTGGGAGAAGGAAGAGGTTATGTGGCTTTGCCTTTTCCTCTCTGAATATTTCACTATTAAATACATATTTCTCAACAGATTATGAAATGGGATTATTATTTTCAAGAGAGCAATACTGACACGCAGAAGTAATCTCAGCAGGGAAGCTTTTTGACTGATAACATTATTTTGTTGCTTTCAGGCGATTCCTTTTAATTTCAGATGCAAATGACAAAACAATTAAATGACACATGCGGATGGACTTTGATCTCTTTTCCTCCTCTACATTAATCCCTCACTGCAATCCTGGTGTACATGCAACATGTCTAGGTCTTTTACAAAAAGCATATGTGACAGCAAACCACATTTTTTCCCCTTGAAATTACTACATTTTGATTAATAAAATTAAGTTTTCTTTTCCCTAGAAAGAAAACAGCATGTATTTAGGACACTATGAGGTTTTTGTCTTTCATTAGAAAATAGCAAAACATGAGTTCTCAGTGCTGTCACTCCCTAAAATAATGTATATTTTAGATGCTGCATACAGGTGTTGTTAGAAAATGCTTCCTTTGATTGAGACACACTCTGGGAAAGCTGATGCTTCCTTCCGTTATGCATCGTCCAGACACACATACCTGTTTCAGCAGATAAATTTCACCTTATGCACACCTCAGCAAAACAATGAATAAGTCATTATCTCTGCTGCGGGGTAAACTTACATTGTAATCATGGAACTGATACTTGAAACCAGAAATCTTTACAAAACCATGAGGTCAAACTTCTCCTAAGCCTTTACTGACATTGAGAGGCCTTTTTTGCGCTGCGTATGAGGAGTCTGCAAGCTTCCAGCTTCTGCTAACACCACGCAGCAGCTGTCATCACTTAGCTCCTCTGAGCTAAGCGAGCATAAGGATAGCGCAAGGGCTATGATTCTCAGAGAAATCAGAAATTGCTGATTTTGAAGCAAGTAGAAATGACCTTAAATAACTATTCTGTAGAAAGGAAGCACTGAAACCTCAATTAACTTGTTTTCAGAGAAGTAAAAATTGCAAGCTGCTAAGTGCTAGACCCCTACCACGCTGCCCCCAGGTCTTGTTGATGCCTTGTCGTCAAAACTGAGTCCATGCAATGGGACGAAATTACTGATGCTGCAGCAGAAGTTGGATTAACTTTTCTTTTTCCCTTGGGAAATATTTCCAAGCATATTGAGAAAAGGTTTAGCGGTAAAGTGATTGCTGCTGTTAACAGAAGGTATGTGAATAAGGACTAAAACTCTGGAAGGTCAGTCCTCCTGGATTTTTGTCAGTGGTATAAAATCGTATAGAAAAAGTGCTAACAGCAATGGGGTAAGAAAACCATAATTGGAACAGAGGTGACTGCTTCTTTTTAAGACCCTGTTTTATAGACATTCAATCACTGCCTACTAACATTATTTAAGGTGATTTTTTTTGTTGTTGTTGTTGTTAATCTCGAGCATTTTTTCAATTGCTTGGTGAAACCATGAATGGAAATAGATTATATTTGTTAACTAAGGAATTTCTGTTTTATTTGTGAAGAGGTTAAGCGTTACTGAATCAGTGCAAAGACTATTTTAAATCAAGTCTAAGTGCACGTGTAGTGCACAGTCAGTGCAGACATATTCTCCTTTTTAATTCCAGAGCTTTCATCATCCTCTGAATCATTCCATTGATGTCTAGCAGGATTTGGATCAGGCTCAGTGCATTTATATTACTCCAGTGGGCTGTAAGACCATCACTGAGCCTGTCAAGTCTGTTGTCCCTGTTTAAAGGTTTTAATGTACACCTCCTAGAATTCCTGTATTTCTGTCCACATAAATTCTTATGCAATTCCTTAATTTGGCAGTAAAAATACAAATCCAAAGGAGAGGTCTGAAAGGAGCTAAAATTGAAAATGTAACAAAAAGGTTGCAGTTGTGTCCACTGTCATTATGTTTACACTCAACTGTGACTGCTGATAACCTCAAGTAGCTCTCAGTTCTGTCTCATTCAAGAATTATCTTGCCTTACAAATAAACATTGTTATGTTAGGCTTTGACTCAAAGACTCCAGCCAGTGAAAGGGCTCCTAAGCTTTGCCAAAAATTACACCTGAGAACATACTGTACTTTCTGGTTGCTATGAAAATAGCTTTAGCCCAAAATGCATGAATATACAAAAAAATCTTGTATACAACAGGCTAGGCGCACAGACATATATCTAAGACTGCAAAAATGTGCACAGGTCTTAAATTACTCTTTTGACTGATGCATTTAAATTCTTAACAAACAAATTAAGCTAAAATCTATAGTTTCCAGAAGGCAACACAGCTTTCTGTGACCTTCAAAATGAATATTGGCCTGAATTTTAGGCAGTCAGGTTGGATTTCTTTGACACACAGAATATAATTTTAATCCACAATTAATATTCAGATTAATGACTATTACCCAGGATATCCTTTTGGTGATATTTCATCAAATCTAAAATGAGAAAAATTCTGCGTAGGTAGTAACATTTCTTTCATGCTTAATGTCACCTCTCAAAAAATCAGTTCTGCAATTCAGAACCAGCATACTGGGATGCTGTGAGGATGAAGCTGCTTTTGCACTTACCTACTCTTTTTGGTGTTTCTACTGTCTGTGCTTAAAGGAAGCACAAAGATAATAAAATCTTTGTTTTCACTAATTATTTTTAACACTTGGCTTGTGCTTTGCAACTAAATAGACTTAAGTTTGTTCATTTTTGATCCTGCAATTGCATCAGTGTACAGGTAAATATGTGTATGTGGTCATATCACTGCAGGACTCCTAGTGAAGCTACAGCAACTCTGTATTAATGAAAGGGTCCAACTGTGTGAGTACTCTTATGAGTAAAACTGGACCTCCAAGCAGCACCCAGAGAATACATTGCCAAGCAGGAGCTGATTTGCTTGGTCCAGAGCACCTTAGGAGTGCCATGGAGAGGCTTAAGAAAAATATTAGGTAGAACCTGTGACCTTTAGTACTCATTTTAAGAATCTGCTGCTTCTTTCTCAAATACATAAATAAAATCAGTGCCCTTGCCAATTCCACTCCTGGGAACTACTGTTGTGCTTAACTCTGTTAACTGAGTAAATATTATATTTATCTATCCAAAGTCTGCTTCATCAAGATGCTGTTAGAGAGAATATCTACCGTATCAACTATTTCTATGTCGTCCTGGTTTGATGTTTCAATAGATGTTTAACTTAGGTGTACAAAGTGTATGTGACCCTACATGCTCCTCCAATGTTATAGAAGGTTTACAAAGGAGTGGCAGTGGGCTATTAAAGAAGTTCTTATTGCAGACTGAATGGGACCAATGCAGATGGCCATTTGCTATTCTCTGTTATGGGTCCCAGGATGAAGTCATGTTAAAGTGACAGAAACCATATCCTAAGCAGCACAGGAATGATATATACAGTGTCACCTGTTGGCAAGCTTAGCACAGCTGCTGCCAAAACTATGCAGCCCCTCAAAGGGATATAACGTACGTTGGGCCCTGTTTCAGTTTACAGCAGCTCAGTGTATAAGCCAAGAGTTCTGAATTTTCAACTAATAATGAACTTGTGCTGCAATTCTATAATTATGTAAAGCACTTGGAGATCTAGGTCATAGACGAAAACCAAGCTTAAAGAAGCCTCTGATTAAAAGTGGAATCAGGATCACTCAATCTGTGGCTGCACAGGTGCTTTTAATTTTGTGTCTGCTGTGTACCTAGCACCCACCAATGAGATCACAACCATTATTTCTGCTGGCCCCATGTCAGTGCAGTTTGTGTGGCACAATGCAGCTGACCTGTATTAATTCACCTTATCTTTCAGTTAATTTAATTAATTTACCTCTTGCTTCCTCCTCTCTGTGTTGCCCAATGCATACTTGTAAAATGATCAGGGTGCGGTTATCTTGACCAGTTTGCATATAATTGTCCTTTCTGTTTAACAACTGTTACCTCAATAATTTCTTTTTCCAGTGGATTTATGAGATATGAAACTTTATATTCTGACTTCGTTCTCTGAATAACATTTTTGCAGAGCCCTTGACTGACTCAGTGAGGGTTCTTCTTTGGAGCTCTGCCCACAATTATTGTGAATTTTGTACTTCAAATGAGTCATTGCTCCACATCTCTAGGTATCATATAAAGTTCTATATGTGCCTTACAAAGCCAGAAGGTTCGTCCTGTTCCCTGTCCCCAACGTATACACAGTACCAAGAAAATATTAGGCCATTATGTTTGGAGCTGTTAAAAGTAATCTGGGTATGTACAAAATAAAGATTTTAAAATGCAGTTCACTCAAATGGAAACAGTTTTTTACTGGAACTATAAAGCTAGCAGATTTATCTGTGTGCCAAATCTTGTCTGTGTCTCCAACTGTTGAGGCAATGTAACTATTCAAAGAGGTTGCATTAAAGAAAAGGAAGACAAAGACTGTGTTTTAACATTTTACATTCAAATTATTATTCTCTTACTTTGAGAAAGACTTAATGTTTTAGCAGACATTAAGAACTGAAAACAGTGACTCTATAGGACATTATGTTTGGAAAATTAAATGTTAATTAAAAAGCACTGTAGCAATGAACTACCGCATGAATCACTTGTTGTTTTTACAGATCTTGTTCAAAAAATGAGGATGATCTATACTTACATGTATAAGGCAGTAATTTACATGGTTATAATGTTTTACTTCAGAACTGTATTTGGCAAATCCTAAAATAATAGCATTGGCAAATTTGAAAAAGCTATACTATAAAATCAAAGTATGTACTGTTTAGCTTTGTTTTGGGAAGGCTTATAGGCATGGAAATAGAATTGAGGATGCCACTTCCCTACAATTAGTAGACAGCATGATCTAGCAGCAGAAGCAAGGGATGATGGTTTTTTCCATTAATGTATATAAAGTTAACCTACCAGAAAGGCTCATTTTTCCGAATCCATGCATATGTTCTGTGATAAGCGGGAGTAAAGAGGTAAAGGTGAAAATACCTTTTCATTCCCTTACAGCTTGTCACTTAAATCAAATGTAACAAGCTCTAAAATTTGTGAGGCTCTGCACGTCACAAAAGATTTGCAGTTTTATTTCCAGCTTTTGGTGATTTGTACTTCTAAGTGTTTCCAAGACGAAGTGTAACATCACTTGATTTAAGGGACATTTTCCCTTTACCTCTAGGCCAATGCTAACCTATTCCAAGGTCAAGTGGAAAGGAATTTGACAAATAAGTGGTGATTTTGGGTGGTTTGCAGTTTGAACAGCTTTCATCCTCAAAGTTTTCAGAAAGTGAATTAAGAGTTACTAGCTAGTCAGTTAGTGGCTAAAATACAGTGAAAAGAACATTGAATTTGCATCCCACTTGCTAAGTGACTAAAATCTGTAATGGAAGACTAAGCTTCTTAGCTGATATGTATTTTCCTCAGTTTCCACCAACTAGTCAGAAATCAGATAGAGCTGCAGTGGAAATTTCATTCCACTGCCTGCCCAGACTAATGTGTGTTTAATGTTTTGGCTTCAGCTTAGAATGAGCTTTCACACTTGACTGAACAGTGTAGCACTGCCAATAATAGATAATTATTAGGGGCACCATAGCCACCCAAGGTGATTGGCAGTGTGAAATGGTGAGAACATGTTGTTGCCAAAACTGATGACTGCTAATTACAGTTGTGTGATTTAGAGACTGAAATAATCTGACTTTTCGTTATGCTAGGAATATGTCAGGTTCTGATAGACACCTGAATATTTGACTCTATTTATTAAGCATAACCAGCAAATTCAGTTTTGTTGACATAGAAGTCAGCACATGAAGCAGAAATTCAGCTATTGTAACATCACAAAGTAGAGAATGTTTCTCAAGAAAACTTATTAACTAGACAGGAAGTTATTATTATTAACTATGACAAGGAAAATTCTTCAGTGGAAAACGTTTTCCTTTTTCTCTGTATACTATCTCCCAGCCTCTGAGCCCTAGCAACAAACTGCTTTTAGTGCAAGTACTCTCTTTGCCTGAGCCATTAGAATTAATTAAAATAAACGAGGTCTCAATTTGGAACAAAGTTTGTCCTGATTGCTTTTAGGTTTTTTAGCCACCTCTAAAGACAAAGATGTTTCCTGTTTCTGCAGCTACCTATCAGATGAGTGAGCTGAACTGAAGCCCAGTTAATGCAACCCATAACTAAGAGGTCAAGAATCTATTAGTGCTAATCTTCCTCCTTTCCCTGATGTAGCCAACCTGTAAGACTTAGGAACAGTAGGTTACTTTTCTCCATCCCTTTGAATAAGCCAAAAATGAATACTTTTTTATAAGTAAAATGTATCAAAATGTAAGGGTGTTAATAATATGTTTTCAAGAGGAAATAATATTTTTAGCTGAAGGGAGAGTTGGAATATAAACCAGATCCACAAGAGACCAAACCACTTGCCCTTGTTCTCCATATGTCCTCGGGATACTGAATTGGCCCTCTTTATTTGATACTATTCCATTAAAAATGAACATTTAACCCTTTGAAGAAAAGGGTAGAGTTCATAAGGTGTTTTTATTGTCTTTGATTTGGCTTGTAGACTGTTCCATAAATTTCTTTGCTTCACTACTGCAGCACCGTGGTAATGTAATGCATAAAAAGTGTTCTGTTCTTCCAACTTTCATGCTGTATATTAACACAAATTTTTCATACTGATACCTTATTACTTTTGAGATTCTATCTTCTTAATAAAAAACATCTATTTGAAACAGGAAGCAGACCTTATTAATGCTGATTGTTTTGTATTCAGTCTAAAGGCATAGGAGGTTGGTAGATAGAAAAAAAGAACCTACTTCATTTTTCCCACTATGGCTCCTTGAAGCAATTGCACCTATCTATCATTACAGCTGCCCCAATGAATTACAAATCAAAACTTCGTAATAGTCATCTAGAGTTCTCCTGAGATCTGTGTTAGTTTCTTCTATTTATCTACTTTGGGGTTTTTTTTAATCATGATCTAAAGTCCTCTGCAATATGACCATAGACTCTTTCTTGAATTAAGTGAGGAAAGAGCTCCGTCTAGTGGTTGGCGATCTACTTCAGAAAATAAATACTTCATCCTGACAAGTAGTAATTTTTTTTTTCTTTCCAGTTCTGGAATTTCAAATATGCTATCCTGTTATCCAGTAAAATAATGAAGATTTTCTTGCTTTTGCACATTTGATACAGTTTAATGAGTTTTAGAATATTTTTTTAAATTCAAATATCAGGCATTTTTTTTTATCACTGCCATTTTTAAAAGGTCTTATTTAAGTAAGATATATTAAAAATATTTAGTTTTTTTTAATAATTTCAAGCTGTTTCTGAAAAAACAGACAGGTAGGTTATAGTAAAAGGAAACATTATTTTTTTAAATTGTTTCAGTATAATGTTTCTTCCAGGAAAGAAACTCCCACTTGCATTTTCTAGTTATCTAAATTCAGCTAAAGATTTAAGCATGATGCATGAAGTAACAGAGGGTGTTGTTCTGAAATGTTAATGTTATGCTTTATAAAAATTGTGTTATTGTAAATATTCCTGATTTAAATGACTGGAGAGAAATAATTTATCTTTGCTGATGAGGATCACTGTGCTTCCTCTTAATAGGTAGGACCAAGGTCCATGTATTTCAGTATCTTGTCTTCAGCACTGCTTGCAGTCACACAGGAAGCAATGAAATCACAGGAAATGACCTGACAGCAATTATTTTTCTAAGAAATATGTAACTTTCTAATTTGTCTCCACAGGACTCTCCTCTAAAAGCTGTACAGATGTTGTGGGTCAATCTAATTATGGACACCTTTGCCTCGCTTGCTTTGGCCACCGAACCTCCAACAGAGGCTCTATTGCTAAGAAAGCCATATGGCAGGAACAAACCTCTTATATCCCGTACCATGATGAAGAACATTCTGGGCCATGCTGTTTATCAGCTTACTCTCATATTTACACTTCTTTTTGTTGGTAAGAATGTTTGTTAGGCTTGTTGCTTAGTTTAGAAGCATCTAGGTCTTTGTAGCCTGACATGTCAAAACGCTTTAAATATATCCACTTAATTCACATATATGAAGCCTGTCATAGTTAAGCAGTTAGCAGGACCGAGCTTTTTATTGGGATCAGAAACAGTAGGGGAAACAGAACAGATGCAATAGAGGGATTTAGTCACCTTTTGTATGTTGTTTACATTTGGGAAGAGCCTCAGTGGGCTTTTTTGCCTCCTAAAAAAATGTAGGTTTGGGCTTTGGCAAAAGTTTATGTTAAAAAGTAGCGTAGAAGGTTACATTTTAATCTGAGTATCTAGCCTGCTTCTTCTATACTGAAATCTCATTCTGAGACTTAATCATCTTTTCTAGGAATGTAACAACAAAATTTAAAAAATAACCATAAACCAAACACAATAAAAATCAAGATTTACCAATACCTATATTAGAGAAGCTCTAATCAGGAGCAAAATGTTTGCCGTAGTCAAGAAATAATGTTGATCTTTAGATAGTATAGATAAGCAAACAATCACTATTCAGTAATACAAATAACACTCTGTTTTGACATTTAATATCTAGAATGGATATTAAATGGGGGAAAAAATTCTAATTTATTAGATTACTGGACTCTTATTCGGGCCTTGCTAGCAACCATGCTTTTTATAGGTTGTATTTTGGAGAGGGGAGGGAAAGAAGAGGAACGTTTCTTGCTGCAGGGAATAGTAGAGGCTAATAATAAATTCTGTTGCTCCACAATAATAAGTGACCTTGCTCAAAGGACCAATAATTTTATCAATTGGCTATTGTGTTCTTGTTACTATGTTGTCACTGTTAAATTACATGTGTTGTCTTTCAGATTTTTTTTTCCTTTATATACAGATTTCCATATAAGCTGTAAATGTAAATTTATGATTCTTAGGAGTTTTTTGAGCTCTGTTGTGAAAAATCTTGCTCCACCTTACCAACAACTGGCAGCTTATTTGGAATGCTTAAAGGAGACAATGGTCTGTTTTCAGTGGAGCTATTTAAAGCAAAATAATTGCCAGATTGTTGCCTAACAACATTACAGTGTATTTTGAGAATGTCTAGCAAGTCTAAGGAAATTGTAATTTCAAATTCTCTAAAACAGGTGTGAAGGTCTTGGTAATTCATGTGATATAAATCTCAGAGTGAGAACTTCTGTGAACTTCTTGGGGAGTTTTAATGGCTTTTTGATGAGTTTTATGGTTTAAAATACTTTGTAGTGACCCCTGATGAAAAGAAAACCAGGCTTTTTTACCCTATTCTAATTACTTCTGTGTGTCTCTGGAAAACGCATGCATACTTTGAAGGATGCAGCCCAACCAATTTTCTGATAAGCCTAGGAAATACAGTCTTTTCCTTTCTAAACTCCATGAGGCTTAGCTTTGCAGTGAGATGATGTTCTAAACTCAGTGTTTCAATAAATATATTTGGAATTAATGAGAATTATATTTTGATTAATGAATACTTCCTTTTTTTCCTAGTAGGTTTCTGCAGAGACTAGTACATCAAGTTTTTTTTTATTTTTTCTATGATGTGGCAATTGCGTTTGAACATACAGTAATGCCTTTGAGACGTCAGGAACATCAGAAACCCAGAAGCCACTGTCTAGTTCTGTCAAACTGCAGTACATACAAAAAAAAATCTTAACCTCAGCAACTAGGCATAATAAACCTAAAGTTGGTGTACTGTAATGAGTTTTGGAATATGCTTGGAAATAAAAACTAGTTATGGGTTTAACCACTGCCATTCCACAACAGCAGCATGTTCTGCTTTGCCAATTAAGTGATGCAAAGCAATAATAGAGAATTAAGGACAGGTAGTCTTGCCAAGGAAAGTTTTATTCATAGATTTGTGCTTGTGTGTCTGTCAAATGAAAGCAAATAGATATAATATGTGTGTATTCCTAAAAGACAAAATGGTGACATTTGCTTTCATTAATTTTTTCCTTTACTGTTTATATGTAGTAAGGGGAATGTTTTCCAATACTTAGTTATCTCTCTGGAGATGTATAATCCTCTTAAAAATCTCTCTCAGTCTAAATTTTGTGTTCTCATACTGTGTTACTGATATATTTGTGATGTCATAATCTACGTTCTGTCAAAAGACTATAAGCCAAATTCTTTGGAAACATGCTTGTTATTCCCAGTGTCTTGAACATGAACTGCTCAAATATCCCAAGGCAAAAAGCCGCTTACTGTTAACTTAATGACCTCAGGAGAAAACCTGAGGAAACCTTTCTTTCTTCAGAAATTCTGAATATAATGCTATTGGGATAGCAGAAATAAATGTTCAAGTTTTAATTTGCTTTTATTAATAAAGCACTGGTTATGAAAATGAGTAGTATTGTGATACAGTAGTACTGTGAAGAAAGGCTGAGAGAGTTGGGGTTGTTCAGCCTGGAGAAGTCAAGTCTCTGGGGACGTTATTGCACCCTCTCAATATATAAAGAGGGCTTATAAGAAAGACAGAAAGACACTTTTACCAAGGCCTGTAGTGAAAAGACAAGGGGCAGCAAGGGTAGGTTTGACTGGACACAAGCAAGAAATTTTCTTACAGTGAGAGTGGTGAGACACAGGAACACATTGCCCCCATAAACTGGATGCTCCATCATTGGAAATGTTCAAGGTCAGATTGGATGGGGCTTTGAGCAACATGATCTACTGAAAGATGTCCTTGCCCATGGCAAGGGGATTGGACTAGATGATCTTTAGAGGTCCCTTCCAACCCAAACGATTCTATGATTCTGCAAGAAAAGAGGTCCCTCAGGTGTAGGTATCTTTTCAAAACTTACTTCATTTTTACAGTGACCCTTCATGCATTGTATCTTGCTTTTTTTATTGGTTGGATCTGAAAGTGATAGTCAAATTATCAAAATAAAGAGCAATGCCTGATGGTGTGCTTTCAAAGCAGACTAGCAGAATGATCAAACCAAAATCTATTTGAAACTAGGAATCTCTGTGGTTTTTATCATTAATATCCTTGAATGCTTGTCAAGAGTTATGCCATACTGGCTAAACAAATGGGTGAAAGAAGAGTGGTTGCCTCTAGTTATTGTATAAAATCGCAAATGTACTGTCAATGGTCTCAAGTGCTTGGTACATCAGAAAGCATTTACTTCTTAGAATAATTACTACTTGGTTAAAGGAAAAGTACTACTGAAAACTATTTGTGTAGGTATACAGAGTTATTAGGTAAGTCATCATTTGAGAAGCTTCTTGCTTGGGCAGTTTAGATATCTTTTGCTCACTAGTGTTATAAATTCTGCTTATATTATAGTAAGTGCAGAAAGCAAGCTGGTAAAGCAGAGCACAGGACACAATTAGCTAAAGCAAACAAGGGAAATTTAAATTAAATTTAGATTAATTTATTCTAGTGGAAACCCTTATTTTTGTCTTATACCTAGGTGAGAAAATGTTTAAGATTGACAGTGGGAGGAATGCACCGCTTCACTCTCCTCCTTCAGAGCATTACACCATTATCTTCAACACCTTTGTCATGATGCAGCTTTTCAATGAAATCAACGCACGGAAAATCCATGGTGAAAGAAATGTCTTTGATGGCATCTTTAGAAATCCTATTTTTTGCACTATTGTACTGGGAACATTTGCTATTCAGGTAATGATTTAGTAATTATTCATCAGAAATTTACCTTAAGTCTCTTTTTCTGTGTGTTTTTTTGAAATCTAAATGCTATAGGAGGCACACTTAATAGTAAGCCACCTGGTTTCACATATTTTCTCAATCAATGCAAGTATCAATAATGGAAAATGTTATATAGCCATACTAATACAGTGTAAATTTTGATCATTATAACTAGGTCAAATCTTAAACTATTGTGAGGATGTACCATAATAACAGCCATCATGATTTGTTGATATTCTAACTGGGTTTTTTAGATGAAATTATTAAATAGTATACCAAACAATAGCAACAAAGCATTTTACATTAATTTGCTACTCTGTGGATAGACATATTGGCCCTCAAATAGCTAATGCTGATCAGTTCTTCTGAGGTTAAATGCCACTGCCAAATGATACCCAATGTTCTCAGTAATACTACTTCTTGGTAGTAATTCTTCATGTCCATCTCATGAGTTTGCTGTCCCAGTCATATGTGAGCATAATTACAGAAATTTTTTTTACACACTTTTCCCAAACAGTTGTAATTTTTCTCCTGTAAGAACTCTAATTCATCCTTCTGCTTCTGTATCCATCCATTTGCTGGCATCTACCCTGTACTTGATACTATTTGACATTACCTTTTAGAAGTCTACTGCAGCCCTCAAAATTGCTTAGAGTTGAGCTATTTCTATCTTGACATTATTGCTCAGTTCTGCAGTGGCATCCTGGAAGCTATCAGTATTGGGACTTTTTTCATGGAAGGAGTAAGGAGGAAGATAGAGCTATTTGAATCTGAGCTATAGTGGTTTGATGCAGGAAAGGACACCAGTTATTGGTAGCAGAACTTGGTAGTGATCAACTTTAATAGGTAGTTCAAAAACATGGGTTTACTACCATGAACTAAAATGCCTTTAGAAGAGGCATGGCAAATTCTCAATCATCTCTATTTTTTATTTTTATTTTAATCATGGATAATATTTGAGGATGTTTTCTCAGTTCTAGGCATTACTGCCTAGACTCAGTTGTCTGCCTGAACATAAAGTGTCATCTAGCTGCTAGCCACGTTTCTGAACCAGCCACTGATCTTACTCTTCCCTGCTTTCCTAGTAGCTGAAATAATTAAGTGCATGGTTCAAAACACTAGATTTGCACTCTGACAGTGAATCAGAAAGGACATTGAAAGGGTTAGGACATAAGAGTGCTTAGGCTATGACTCTTACTTCCTTTTAAGTCTCTTTTTTAAATCGGGTAATTTTTCTTGGGGTAACAGAAGGTTAATCTTTCTATTAATTTTCCACTCTGTTTATTATGTTGTTGAAGTACAGCTTTGCATAATGTTGCTTTCTGAAGCAATGTCAGAAAATATTTACTATTTTGGCTGTGTGTTTTAATAGCTGGATGTGTGAGCCAAGTGTTTTATTCTAAAGAGAAAATTATTGTCACCAGAAGCTTGGATTATGTAGATGGATATGGGAGATTACAGAACTGGTTTTATTTCATATTTAAAACTTTCTTAGTTCCATATGTATTTACTGCACTTTCTGTGAAGTACAGATTGATGGGCTTTGATATTTCATCTTGTGAGTGCAATAGTTCCATTAACTATTAGTTAGTTCAGTTTAGTTTAGTGCTCCTCCTAAACCCTGCCAAAAAGAAAAAAGCCAGCAGCAGTGGCCAAATTTTCAGCGTAAAAAATACGGAGGCTATTACAGTGCATCCTTGATAAGGATCAGAAAGTGCTTCTGTGAGAGCTACAACAGCTTGAGAAGTAAAAGTGTAGTTACCACTCCTGTCCTCAGACAACTAATAGCTTTCTTTTATTTTTTTAATTCCTTTCTCTGCTTTCAGAATAAATAAATAATTTTCACAGTGAAGGAAGATGGATTAAAATATGCCATACCCAGCGTATAGCATTTAGAAATTGCTCAACATGGAGTTGTAATCTCTTTCTTATAATTTTAGTATTATATTCACAAGTTTTGTTTTGTCTTCTCCTTTTTCCTTACTCTCTCCAATCATTTTCCCACTTCTGTCCCCTGCCTTCCATTCTCTGTCCCATTCCTTCTTCTTGTGTATTTACACTTCACATGGAATGAGTTTGTGTTCATAGTTTGTGATAATCCATTTATACAGGAAATAAACCACTTTATTTATTAGTGTTATTTTGTATCTTCGATTGGATAAATTACTTTGAAGTTTTGCAGACTTTGACAGTTTAAATCTCTGGCTTGTGATTTCAGGTCCCTGGTTTTGCAGCAACACTACTAACAAAAAATATCAATAATATCTGATTTTCAGTTAACAAAACCTTCTTAATCTAACCAGGCTTAGGAACTTGTTCAGATCTTGTGTGTGTTGGTTTTCCTGCTGCAAGGTGTGTGGTTTTCCCACCCTCTTTTCTCCAACAGGACTAGATTTCAGCGTAGTTGTGATATCACATCTATAAGTGTCACAACAAAATGCTAATTAGAGGGGAAAAAAGTCTCTCATTCAGTGAACATTCCAAAATAAACTACATCAAGATCAACATATCCACAGCTGAGAATATTCAGGGACAGTCCTGTTTTCTTCCTGGGCATTTGTACATAATGACTGTTGTTAGATAGGAGTCTGAATTGGTATAACTTTTTCTGACCTTTAATTCAGGGTGCATAACTTTGTGTGGTTTGATTTTTAGTGACTGAGATTCTGCAGTTTTTACTGGATGGGTTCCAAAAATGTATTTCTGGTAGCTTGACTTAGTGCCATCTAAGAGTGTCAAATGATTTATTTGGGATATAAGATAGTATTTTGATTTTGGGTGCTCTTTAGATTCAGTCCACTGAACAATACAGAAAATATTTAACCCCCTTCTTTTCTGTTTTTCTTTGTAGATAGTAATTGTCCAGTTTGGAGGAAAACCATTTAGCTGCTCTCCCCTTCAGCTTGACCAGTGGATGTGGTGTGTATTTATTGGATTAGGAGAACTTGTATGGGGTCAGGTAAGCATTCAGTAATATGCAGAGTTTTTTCTTTTGTTTTTATAAACCAATCAAAGATCTGATATTGTTCATAATTCTACTATACAGTTGTTTCCTTGATCTCTCACAATGTCATATTTAGTACACATTGGAATGCAGGGTGCACTCTAATTCCTTCAGGAATAGATACAACAGTAAGGATAATTTATCCCACTGTTCCTTTTGATTTTTGTTAATTTTCACATCTTTTTTTTCCCTAAGCAGCATGTGCTATCACCAAGGTCATCTTCAGTTAGGCTTTTTTATGAAAGATGTTTGATTCATAACCTAGTCCTCTAGTCACAGAAAAGTACGGTAAGGGCAAATGCACTGTAACCTTCCCTGCAATAGAGTAGCCAGTGTAGAATATGTATGTTCAGCCATGGCAAATACTTGAAAGTGAAAAGTAGTTCCAGTTCTATGTCAACTCACTAATTCCCATGCTGAAACCGCCATTCCATCAACCCAGGGTAGCCTTGTTACTGGCATAGGTCCAGTGCATTTAATATTAATTTAATATACACCTGCAGCGATCCTCCACCCACCTACTTCTCTGTGTGAAGGATGGGGAGGGTGTGACATAAAAAGGATTTTTTCCTATAATAGTTGCAGAAAAGTGCAGTTTAATTCATGTGTCATTTTAAAATTCTGCTACAACCTGTGTTATCATTAGCTAATACAAAATTATATAGAGAGGAAAAAACAAGTATCAATGAGATAATTAAGTTATGTGATTATCTGTCTGGACGTAATAATACAGATACAAACAGTGTTGTTAAAATACTGCATTATTATTTTATGTACAAACACATGTTCCAAAGTTAATAATGTTATTTTTTTCCACCTTTGAATGCATTATTAATGTGTTTAAGTTGATGCCACCTGACATAGTAAAAAATTAGGTGAGAAATGTGAAGTTACATTTTGCTTCTGAGATATGAAGATATACAAATAGATCAATAGTTTGCCACTGTGACGAAACAGGCAAGAAATTGCCAACTGCAATTGAATACTGAAATGGTTCTGATGGAATTGTAATGAATAGATGCTAGCTTTCCAAACTGATTATTTACTCTCTTATGGAAAAAAGTAACTTCGGGGGCAGTTGGGCCTCAGATTTTTTTTTAAGAAATAAGGTCAGAGTCATGACAGCTTTTACTGCATATGTTGCTGAAAGCCACCACTGTTAGACTGTTCTAATATAATTATTACCTGAGAATGGGATTTGATTTATAATGTTGCAGGAGGAAGACCTAAAATCAGTTTGATGGTTCTTGGAAAGAAAATATTTTTTTTTAACTGATTGCAAAATACCAACTTTGGGAGGGGGGAAGAAAAGCAGGGAAAGGGAGCTGTTTTATTAGATCATTCAGCTGTGAAGAATTTCCCACAGCCTTTATCAATGTTCTGTTTGGCTTCTAAGTTTTGTTATATGTGATTATTACATAACTGTTGAAAACTAAGAATAATATCAGCATCTGTTTTCAATTTAAAGATGGGCATAATTGCCCAAGTCTCATTGCAAGAGCCTAGCCATTAAATTAAAACTGGTATTGGAATACGTCAACAGTTTTATCACTGAAAAGGCTACAATTTTACATAAAGCAAATACAGAGGAAAAAAATGTTTCTGTTGTGGCCAGTATTTAGTGACTAGAATAGAAAAGCACAAGCTAAAAAGCATTATTTACATATTTACATGATTTACAGTCTATGGTGAGTCCTCTCTTCATGGAGCTCTACAGTAAGAGATGACTTTTTCTTTAGAAGAGGTGCTCCTCTTCCTTCTCAGCCTTTTCTCTCCTGCTATGACTAATTCTAGCTCAGCACAAATTTGTTTTACCAGTCTTCTGAACCTGCTGTTCTTGTGAACCACTAAAACTAATCAAGATTTTCAGGTTTAGATGTTAAAGTTGCAATTTTTAAAGTGATTTAAAGTGCAATTTATAGGAAGCCAATCTGAGATGCTTGAGGGATGGTTTCTAAAAGGTGGCCCTCATCACTTCTGAAAACCAAAACTTTCTAAAATATTTCATGTTACGTTCCCAGAATTATCAATCAGTTTTTAAAACTGTGATAATTTTCCTGGGAATAAGATTTAGTTCCTTAATCTACATCCAGTCTGTTGAGTCTGCAATTACCTGAACTGGGCAGGTGTCTGCAGATATGGAAAAATGAACAAGCAAAAAGACATGTAAACACCCTAAGAAAAGAATTAAAGCAGAATCTATCAGCCTGGTTGAGAGAGGTCATGAAGGAGAGGTATGTTCTTATCACACAGAATCACTACCAAATGCAGTTGTTTCCATGTGTACTGTCTTGAAAGTACTTCATCACCATCAGCTACACCAGATTCCAGTCTCAAACAGCTGCTTTCTGTAGAGCGCTGACATTATAGTGTTTTGAAAGCTGGGAAGCTGAAGGAGTTTCAGTAAGTATTTAAATGACTAGCGCTTACCTTTTCTTTTTTTCTTCTGTTCTGTCTTTGCTTGCGTCACACCAATTCATGAGTTTCCCAAGTTGACGTCTTGTTTTTCAAAGCCCAAAATGTATTTTCAAAAGGTTCTGTAGAAGTGTAGAAACTGGTTGGGGTTTTTTTGACATCTCTTTATCTGTCTTTAAAAATAATATAATAAAAGAGGAGTTGTAGATAATGAAGCTCAAGGAGACCCTCATCAAACTCAACAGTTTATATTCATCCTGAAAATACTTGGTGCCTTTTCATGTGTCTTCACTATATTCATTCCAGTTTTCCAAAACTGTGAGATATATCTTCACCAACTTCCCTGCAACTGTCTGATTCTATCTCCATCTTTCACACATTTGGGCTTCAGAGATGTGATTGCTCACTGCTGAAACAAAGACAAACAAAAAAAAAAATAAAATTGCAGCACTGTTTTTGCTAAATTAGTCTAATAGTGAACTTTTTTCTTAATGAGAAATTAAGTGAGGTTTGGTTTTTTTCCAAGCGTTCAATATGTTCCAGGTAATGTCTTGTTTATATAGCCATCTGGCCATATTTTTATTCAAGCTAAGAAATAAGAACAAAGAGAAAATGAGTGCCCAAGAGGGTAACACTGATACGTATTTAAAATAATTGTGCTATAACATTGTTTAGCTACAGTATTTGCAAATTTTTAAGGTTATTAGCCATGTCCTGTATTAATTACTTCCAAGGACTGCTTCGGTGGACAAACAAAATAAAAAGGTGGGCTGAGTTAATCAGAATTTATTAGTAATAAGGACAAAGAGTAAGAGATAGCCCTTTAAGAAGTCCAACAGTGAGACGGTCAAACCCACACCTTTCAGAAACCTTAGAATGCTGAGAAAAGCATTTCAATTTGCTGAAACAAAGGGAAGCTGAATAGATGAACTAACGTAGCGTGCAAAGATTTATAAGCATGAGATGCAACTAATTTTCAGCTCACATTAACATACATTAGATTATTATCAGTCATTAGAAACGCCCAAATTCTAATTGCAGAAGTATCAATCTTGTTTTCTTTAAATAATTGCATTCAAATACTTACACCTTCTTTTAGTTTTTTGAGAAAAGACAACATTTTTCCCAGCCTTAAACTTGCTCCAGAGCTGTGTATTGCCAATCTGGTTTAAGAATGCAAGTAATGCTAATTGTTTACAGAGTAAACTAAGTATTTTTGAACTAAAATGGAGTTGTATACGTGTAAAGTATTATTGTGAATATGCTTACATTAACTTTCCTTATAGATCTCACTAAAATATCAGTGTTCTTTTGTAATTAGCAGATTATTATACTGTTGTTATAGAATGAGGCTTATGTTTTCAGTAATTTTTTATAATTTTAGGTCATTGCAACCATCCCAACAAGTAGGCTAAAATTTTTAAAGGAGGCAGGGCGGCTCACTGAGAAGGAGGAGGTCCCTGAAGAAGAACTCAATGAAGATGTTGAAGAAATTGATCATGCAGAGAGAGAACTTCGACGTGGCCAAATTCTCTGGTTCAGAGGGCTCAACAGAATCCAAACCCAGGTATACTAAAAATAAATGCCCACATGGTCTAGAAAAAAAAAAAAATGCTTAATCTTTCATCAACCCAAGATGAGGAAAGCCCCAGAGTATTCCTGTGTGTGAACGATGGTACTCGTTAATTGCTTTACTGTTTTCAGAGGAGGAGCACATGAAAAAGTAAAATAGGTGAATTGAACAAAAGTGTGTATGTGTATACCAGAGGAGATAAAGTGAAAAGATTATGAAATGGTAATATGCAAAAATAGGAATACTTTTTTTGAGACTACTGTGCACGGACATTATTTTTCTATTACACATATCAACTAGTGATGACAGTTCATAAAGTAGTGCTACTTGGAAAATGTAACAATGGCTAGAAAAATGTTATCAAGGCTTTCTAAAACATACTGGTTTATTTGGTAAAAAATATATTGTTGCTGCCACTTCTGCAATAACAGAAAAATTGTCGAGTCTAAAGTATGAAGTACCATTTGATTAAAAAAAATATCTTTTCCATACTGGCACTACCATATAATATTATGATTAAAAGGAATCAATTTTCTTTCCTATTAGGTAATGAAAAATGTGGTTCTGGATTTATTTTTAATAGTAAGGGTGTAAGCATCCATTAAATATTGAAATGTATATGTTGGCTAATATGGATGATTTCTTAGAAAATATCTATCTTTTTATTTTAAAAACCTCCAATCTTTGCTAAGTACAAGAATCCACGGCATTTTTCAATATACTAAATATTTGCACTGAATCTTGATGCTAAATATAGCACAGATTAGGATATCTAGTAAAATTTGTCCTGTAGTGCTAAAAAAATTATTTTAACTATTTCATTGCAGTGAAGTAGCATGCTTATAGCACTCTAGTGCTCTCTGCTTGATCTTTCTAAGATCAAGTATTTGTGCCAGCTTGCAGAAGAAAGCTCTGAAAGAGATATGTACTCGCCATATCATTTACATGATGTTTACAAGAAAAAGGTGAATAATTAAGAAAAGTATTTTGTCTTTAAAGAATCTTTTGAAGAACATCTATAGCTCAGAAGATTTTTATTTTTGTCTTCATTCAAGACAAACAGCACTTTCCCATCTACAGATCGATACATTTTTTTTCTGGAGAGATACAGCCATGCATTTTTAGAAGAAATGAGAGGAAGCAGCTAACTGAAACTAGGACAGTTAGGTCTCTTTAGTGCATCCACAGAGCAAAAAATAAAGAGGATGGAAACTGCCATTAGAGAGATAAAGGGTTTGGGTAAATTCTCAAGGCTCTCTGGTAAGTAATTAAATGCAGATCTTCAGCTTTGAGGTTGTGTGTCTTGACTCTATTGAGTCAGGAGCACTCATCATTAGAGAAAATTCAAATTGTCACGGTATAAAGGTGACAAACAGGTGCCCAGGTAATGGTGATCTTTATGGAAAGGTGACCTCTAAATGTGCATTCTTTTCTTCCTGGTGGCTGTAGGAGGAGTGTTGTCTGTTGGCATTTCTGTCAGGATGTCTTTCTGGTTGTGGTGAGTGTAAACAACTACAAGCATAAAAAAGCAAATTACATCCTTTCAGTTATTTTTCTAGTCTGAGAGGTAGCTTTTAGTTTTGCATATCTTTGTCCACTTAATTCACAGATAAATTATTATTCTTTTATACTATTTAAAACAAAATGAACATTAATTATATTTCTTTGCTAACATCCATCTTCATAGTTTCCTTTCTGCTCTTAGTTGTAGAAATATCTCCAGTAGGATGTATTGTTTCTGACCTGCCAAGAGGCCTCTGTGATTTATTTTTTTTCCCTCATTTTGTTTATTCAGTGACTTTGAATATTACATCCATTTCACATCTGTGGAGTGATAATGAAAAAAGGAAATGGGCCAACAGATTCAAAAATAGTTCCAAGGTGTCCACTGGAGAGAGATGAACTTATATGCAGGCCAAATTAGATCCATTGTTGGATGGACCTTGAGTTGAATGCTTTTTGATGCGCCCATCCAAATGAATTCATACACTTGTACTACATTTCTTAGGAAGCCAGCTCAAGAAGAGTTGATGGAAGAAGATGAGGATGTCTGTAGCATCCTTGGGGAGCTGGAGGATTTGCAAGAATCCTCTGATGTCTAATGCACTTCTGGAGATGCGGAAGAAGAAGGTAGAGCATCCCCTCACTTTATATATATATATATAAGAGGATGACAGTAAGATTAGGACTAAACTCTGGACTCTCTCACTACTAGATCGATCATTCAAATCCCAACAAGACCAGTTTCTGCCATCATACACTTGTGCTGTATATTAGATTATCTTTATTTTTGCTTATTTTCTATTCAGTCACTATTGGACAGATAGCCACAGTACTCAACAAAAACCTTCACTCCTAAAACAGTTACAAAGAATCCAGATCTCTTGTAATGCTCCAATAAGAACTCATCCAAACTGACAAAAACTTTGCAGTACTAAAGACATTTTTTTCTTTTTTTGCACCCTGTCTCAAAACAGAGGGTTCAAACCTAGACACCAGACAAAGGATTTCCACTGTTGATTCTTCATACTGAAATGTCAGACATATTTCTTTGATGAGATGCACAAGTTTACTTAAAGAAAGGTGTGTGAAAAATGCACATAACTAAGTCAAAGAGACTGGCTATCTACTTCTGATTTTCTTTTTTTGTCTACATTTGTTCATTTAGATATTTTGTTGTCTTATAAATATACTATAGGGCTTCTCTTGATGGATGCATGTTGTTCTTCTCTGAATGGAAGCGTGTTTCCTTACTGGATAGCTCTCTCAGAAGACCACTGACACATGAAGTTTCACAAATGACTCATCCTAGTTATGTAAGCTTCAGAAAGCTATTGAGGTGGTCTCAAATGGCATAAAGGACAGGACTTGTCAACCCCTGCTAGTTTTCAGCAATTTTTTTCCAAGTCTTTGTTGCAGTTCTCACAAATTCTTCCTTCTGAAGGAAGAGACAAGACTGATCATACCATCTTAACAGATCTAGTAGGCTTCGGAAAGTTCAGCAAGTTCACCTTCAGGCAAAACTGCGTAATCTGAGTAAAAACCAAAAATGATTGCATCTTTTTTTAATTGCATATTGAGAAGTTTCTCTTGTTACCTCACATTTGAGTATGGAAAAATAGTGAAGTGTGGCGATTTGAAAACTTTTAAAGCTACATGTCAGATTTTTACCACACTGGGCCTGATTGTTTCCTCCTCTGCTTCATTCATCCTGTAATTCAGTTTGCTTTATCTGCTTAGGGTGGGAAATAACTCTCTAGAAATGTTTTGAGAATAAAAGCAAAAACAGCAAAATATACAGGTGCCATGTTAACTGCTACTGAAAAAAGATTATTCCTCTTCAGATACTAGAAAATACATAGAGGTGCTGTACTGGATTTTCTTTTCCCTTTTTGTGCATTAAAACCTTTCTCTTCAGCCAATGCCAATCCTAGAGCAGTGGAAGTCCCTCTTGGCAAGTGGTTTTGAAGTCAGATAAAAAGCTAGCACCTCATTTTATGGCTTTCCATATACCTTTTAATACAGAAAACATTGCAGTAGGCCAGTGTAAGTGGAATGGAAACAGTTTTACTTCATGCAGAAAAGTGTTGCCTTTTTTTTTTAAATAATATCCTGGTTGGAGATCAGGTGAATGAGACCTGGGTCCTGTTAACATTAATGAAAGGAGCAATGCTTGCTGAAAATCTGTTCTGTGTTAAACATCAGAAGAATGTTTGTTCTGCCAGGACTATTCTCTTAGTCTAAGATCCCTTTTTTTTTCTTAACTGCTAATCACTGGTATTTTTATTAGCTGTCCGTACCTCAAAAACATGGATCTTCTAGAGTATAGAACATACAGAAAAATGAGAGGGAGGTGAAAAATTCCAAACTTACAAATAAGCTTCAAATGTAGGACAGTATTTTTTTTCTCTCGCTGAAAGCCTATAATCAAAACATGACTGCATCCTATATTTTGTTGGATATTTTTCAAACTTTTCATGATATATGACTTATCATTTACTTTCTCATTTTTAGCAACTTAAATTGTTCTAAAAAAATGCATTCTTTTGTAAATAAAAAAATTACACCTTAATTTTTAAAGCATTATTTATTTATTTATATGATATTTCTAGGAACTCTTTCTACTTTGTTGTTTTCTGATTTTGGAAGATAAACTTTTGGGCCAAGTTATTCTCTTCTTTCTTGGCTTCAGGCAGAACACAGCCCTGTATATTCAGCTTTTAAGATTCTGGAAAGGTTGTTATCCTCCCCCTCTGAATTACATCCATGAAGATCTGTAGTTACTTTCTTCAGGAGAAAGAGTCAATTACACGCCTGTAATTCTTGTTGTCTGGAGAAACTATTAAATACAGATCTTCCCTTATCTTTTCACTCTTATACTAAGGTCTTTCTTTGCAGTTTATTGGGAAGACACTTGTACATCTAGAAATGCCCTTTGGCTTAGGATTTATCATCTGTGGCTTCCACAGTGATACGCACTTCATGCTCTCAGTAAGAGTCTTTAAAATATTTTTTTGAATGGTCTCTTTTGAAGAGTGCTCTGTCACCTGTGTTAGATCATGAAAACCCAAGATCTGTATTTAATTCTACTTTTGTACAGTGACCATTTCAGGTGAGTATTTAATATGCCTTCATATATAACCAGTGATTTGAGCCATATGTTTTTTTTCTAGATGCCAATGTGAATGAACCTTAGCTAATGACTCACTTCCATATGCTAACTCACCTCATGTTGTATTTTTTTACTGTGACATTTGTATTGGACATGTAATTCAAAATAAGTCTGCTGCAGAAAACACTGAGAGCAAAGCTGTAAAATGTTGTGATAACTGATTAATACTGTACATCTATTAGTGTGCACATTTAAATGGATGTTGTAAACAGGACTCTCAAACAGTGGGTCAGTGAACAAATCAGCTGTTTCATGTTTGTATAGTAAAAGTTCAGGGTGACAATTTTACAGCAGTAACCTTTGATCCCTTTTACAGCTGGCTGTGCTATGATTATTCCCATAAAAACATGTAGGAAAATAAACAATGATGTCCAAATATAAGATTATGGGAGGGGATACATCCATACCATTAAGGATGAAGCCATGTGAATTTGTTTATTCCTAAGACTGACCACAGCAGAAAATGTTAGCTAATTTATTATAGTGCTGTCAACTTGGAAAATTTAGGAGAGCTTGCACAAAGATCTGTCCTGTTTTAATGGATAAATACGCCACTTTACCTTCTCCCAACTACTTTCTAGGCTGTGTATCTTCAGAAATTTGGGTTGCAAGATACAAATCTGGTAACAGTGGGTTACTTCAAATAAGTAGTTGGTTGAATTCTTCTAATTGATACTACTACTGCTGCTTTGTCACGTTGTGGTTGTATCACTGTAGCAAAGAGGACATTTTGGTGTGTAGGGGTTATATTTACTCCTTGATATTATCTACTACCAATCCCTGGCTTTACATTTGTACACACAGCCTGCTTTTTATTGGGTTATACTGGTGACAAAGAATGCCTTGAAATACTCTGCTCTTTTTTTAGCCTCATCTTCTGTGGTGATGAATAAAGCACTCAGGAAGGTATTCAGGATGGATATATCAAACAGTGCATATAATAGACATATGAAAGTAACAAGTAGAAAATTGCAATGTTAATTGCTGCAATAGTCAATCCAGTTCCACGTAATTTTCTGTGTGATTTTAAGTGCTCTGCTTAAAGATAGATAAAATATCAATCTTTTTCAATCTTTAGTTATAAAAGACCAATATTCATTATCACTGAGTTTATTTTAAACAATCTTTCATTATAGAAGAAGTCAAAGTATTGAACACTTCCTATTTTATCAAGCTAGTATACTGACAATCCTGGTTTTGTAGAAAAAATGGAGTCATATTTTGAATATTTTAAAGGGGTTTTGGTTTGGTTGGGTGTCATCCCTGTCCCCCCCCAAATTCCAATTAAGTGACTGCATTTTCCTCCCTCTGAAAGAACAACAAATTAGTTTTAGCGAGCAATAACAAAGTAATTTTATTCTCAGTAGGAAAAAAGTGGAGATTAGTTATATCAACTATTCCGGTTTTATTTACTTCATTTACATATAAATAAAATGGTTTAAATTTTAAAGACTGTTGTTTCAAATCTTCCAGTTGCTTAAACTGATGCAGCTCCACTCCCTCCTATGGAGCTGTTTCATTTTATACAGGCAAAAAAATTGGATAATTTCATATCTAAAAACATTAAAAGGAACCTTTGAAAGCCTTTATTTCATTTGAAGTAAAACTGTATGCACAGTTGATTTATTGTTTTTCATTATTATTCCTGTCAGTTATGCAACTGTATCCATACTTTAAGCAACTTGTCTCATTCTTTCCTCCATTACAGATCGAAGTAGTCAATACTTTCAAGAGTGGCACTTCCTTTCAGGGGGCTCTAAGGAGACAGTCCTCCGTCACAAGCCAGACCCAGGATGTAACCAATATTTCTAGCCCTAGTCACGTATCGTTATCCAATGCTCTTTCCTCTCCTACCAGCACATCTGCTGCTGCGGCTGGGCGTGAGTGTGTATTCTTAATGCATCAGACCTACAGAGATGCCAACTTACGTAGCAGTCACTTGAGACTAAGCTACTTTGCCCTTTCCCATTTTGTCCTGTTATGTTTATTGGTTTACACATACCCAGAACCACATAACATGATTACTTTGTGTACAGTAGATGCTCTCCATGATTCATTGCAAGTTTTTTTAACTTACTGCTAGGACAGGAATTTCTAGTCATTTTTTATCGGGTGTATGGAGATTTTGATTTTATATGAGGCTTCTGTGTCATGTTTTCTCAGTCTCATTGGATACATTTTCTACTGCTTATAAGATATAAACATTAAATGATTCTACAAATATATTAAGCAATACAGCTTGTCAGATAAACAATCATTCCATCTGGAAGACTGCGTGTAATATAGGTCACTCCTATCCAAGAAAGATATACTCTAATTAGCACAGGTACAGGAAGGAACAAGGAAATAGAGGATCTAGTGTATGAAGCAAGGCTAAGGGATAGAGGCGAATGGTGAAATTACATGAATGGTGAAAGAACAGATGTTATCTCTAAATTCACTGGGAAGTAAGCATTAAGGAAGGAGGGAGCTAGAAAAATTGAAGGACAGTGTTGAAACAACAAAACAAATGTGCTGACAAATTTCTTTGTTAGAAGAAGCAGGTTTCTAAACACTGACATCCAGACACAGCTTTCATTTAGATGCAAACAAAGCATCTAGTGAAGAGGTAGTGAAGTGAATAAACACTTTGAAGCAACTAATAAGAAAGGGGAGCTTCACTAACAATAAAATTCCAGGTTGCTCAGGAAAACTCTTCCAAATTTAACTTTGGGTTTGTATTTTTATTTATTCAGGGCTGTAAGTAACTATTTTACAGCATAGCCAGCATTAAAAGAATATTTAAGTTTATAAAACTCAAGCTTACAAGCTTGTCGCTTACTTTACAAAAAAAATGCAGTGTATTCCTTATGCAAGTTTTAGTGAAAAGTTGACCAAACAGACAAGAAACCAATCTTGTCTGTCTGGCCAACAGAGGGAGACAAGGCAGACAAGAGAAAGAAATAAAATTCCAGAACTCATGGAGGAAAAAAAGGAAACATGATCTTTCTATTTGGTTTGAGTGCAAAGCCCGTCAGTATTTGAACATCAAGCCTTTAGACATGCATTAGAAGTTTTGTGGGAATGGAGTCAATGGAGAAACTTTGCTTTTGCTAGGAACCCAAAGTGCCATTAAGGTTCCAACTTTGGCAGTTGCTCCTTGGAGAAAATTCATATCTTCTGTCTTGTCTTGGGAAGTTTGGCCTGCTAACTTTCACTCCAACAGCATGAACAGTTTCAGGGCAGCAGCACGATCAGGAGAAGCAAAATCACTGAGCTGCGTGCTGCTGCTGTGCCACAGGCACCGTAACCTGCTTACCGAGAACTCTGAGCCTGAGTTCCCTCGTTTCCACACTGAGCAGGACACAAAACACCAGACACAAACCAGCCTTTCATCCAGGGAATGATTGCCCATAAAAGCATTTCTATATTTGAGCAGAAAACAGAGAGCAACTCATTCTACTGTGGTAAATGTTTCAATAACATCCTGTGGCCAGCTGTCTGAAAGGATATTTCTAACAAATTAAAATGAACAATTTTTCTTCCCTCTCTTCTCTCCATTGCAGCAAAGCAACTAAGAATTGAATAGTCTTGTGTCTTGACAAAGACCTTACTAGATTATGGGCTGAAGTTAGTTAATAGGAGAAAGCATAATCTGCTACAGTCTTTGATGTCTCTTTTTATTTGGAAAAAAAAGCAGGTCTACAGAGCTTACCAGTTATAGCCACATTTATTCAGTAAAATAAAAAAGTATGATTCATTTGTTAAGCTACCCAGAGATATGAATCTTCATTGCAGAGGGCAATTAGAGATTAGGCCTTTTAAAGTGGTTATTCTGGACTGTTAGCATTTTATTACTGCAATATAATGTCTGTTTAGTATCAAACCAGTGTGTGCTTCAAATTATAATGCTTAAGAAAAGTTTTGATTTACTAATAGAGTGACACAAACCTAATGCATGACAGTGAAAAAACAAAGACAAAAACTGGTTTTTATTTTTAAATTGAGTAGGTACAGTTAGTTGTTCATCTTCCAGAACCTGAAAAAACTTTCCTAATCCAAATTTCATAGAAATGGGGTCTGGTTTTGTGAATTGGCATTTTCTGAGAAAATTTCAGTTGCAAAATGCACACCTAGGTCTACTCTTTCAGCATCTTGTTTAAAATGTATGTGGTAGGACAGACCTGACTTTCCTCTTAGCTGCTCAGAATGAATTAAACCTGAAATCATTACCTTCTTCCTATGGGGTGGAAGGGAATAATGGGATAATTGTATCTCTGATTTTGAAGCCTTTCCCTTTCTTCAGGAATCTTAAATATATTGCATATGTAGATATATTACAGGGAGTAGCAAGGGAAAACCTTAAGTGTATAGATAAGGCAAAAGGGTCTAATACTTGGAAGGGTCCAATATAAGCACTGTCAGGAAGGTTTATTTTCAGGCAAATGTGGAATACCTTAAGTAAAAGCAATTTATACAAAGGGATATTTAGTACAGTACTAAGTTTTCCCTAGTTTTGCTGATACTTTTTAGCTGTCATGGTGGTTTTGCCAATAACAAATTATCAATTAATGCTGACATCCAGAAATTTGTAACAATGAGGTCCATATTATGAATTTCTTCTCTCTTTTGAAAACTGTTTCAGCTTTAGATAAAGACAGTGACAATTTCTGCAAATTGAAACCTGTAATTTTATATATGCATGCATATTTAATATGCACACATTTAAGCTACAGAAAATGAAAACATGGGAAAAATAAGGCTGTGTATGCAATATGGTCTCAGCCAAGTTCTTGGGTTTTGTCGTGTCATGTGCATGAACACACAGACGTACATACACACACAGTCTTCTGTCACTGGAAAGCTCTTACACTACAGAGTTAGAAGTGGTTTTAGATACCAGGCTATCCCACAACAGCTTTGGTAGATATGTATTTTGTATGTGTTTATTTCTACATTTTATTTTGGGTAAAAAAATCAGATCCAGTGGGGCAATGGAGCATCCTTTTTACTTTTGAAGCTCAGAATGAGTAACACAATGTTAGCTTGTGCTTAAAATTAAGTATATGCTTTAAAGCCTTTGCTACTACATTGCTTAATTAGGTAGAGGATTAGTAGATCTAACTGTACACAAAGTAAACAAGTTATTCACCCTAATCTGTTTATACCTGGTTCTCAGATGTTGTTTATATTATCAATAGGTAACCCCTTCAAAAGAATGGTTTCAAATTTTCCCAGACACATTTAATATTCCTTTGTACTTGCTTACCCTCCTTCCTCTCATTCTCATATATAGTTAATACTGTTCCTAAGTCTAAGCAGCCAGAAATTGCAGGTCCCTTATAAAAAGTCCTTTCTTTCATAAAAGGTTATAATTAAAAAATATAGTTAAGTGTAGAAAACATTGGGGGAACAACAAACAAACAAAACGAAACCCCACCAAAAGGCAACTTCCCAGATCATGAACCCGCTGTTGTTTCTTACAAGTTCCTTTTAGTTTGTTCTGTTGAGGTCTGTCATTTTTAGAAGTGAATATTTCATGGAACCACTTACAATTTTTTATTATATTGAATTCTAGCAACAGTGGGCTCAAACGAGACATTTGTAAGGATGACACTAGAAAAAAACCACAGTGATGATACCAAATTTTATAGCAGCCAATTAAAATCTTACCAAATAATCACAAAATATTCTCAGAAGTATTTGTCCATCATACAGATCTCTGAAGGTTTTTTGGGGTTTTGGTTGATTGGTTGGTTGTTTTCTAAAAAGTTTTTTCAAGCAAAAGAAAAGCATAGCACCCTTAAGGGTGTATTTTTGCCCTGGTTCACTTTCTAGAGGGGGCTACAATCTTCAAAAGAGGGGCTAATTTGCATGGAAAGACCATTTTTTTCATTCTCTCTTTAATTAAAAAATAGCTGAAATTTATCAGACTTGCCAAGAAACTGTCATTTATAGGTAGAAACTTTACACATTTAAACATTTAGCTCGAAGTGGCACAAGGGAATAAGCATCTGCAAATTGTGTCAAACTAACACAAGACATTCAGCAGGCTTAATTCTAGTGCATATTACAGTCCATTTACTAATAATTTTAAAGAGAGAGCTTAGTTTAGCTATTTGTAATCTGTTGTGTATGAAAGTCAGATTCTTTTCTGTCAAGAAAAACATTTACTGTTCCAGCAGCTCTTGCTTTTCTATATTTATGTATTCTCTTACATATTTAGCTTCCTATAAATGTAATCATCATTCAGCTGGACAGGCTCTACTTTTACTTAGATAAAATCTTAAGTTTGGATCAAATTTGCTCATGAAGAAAAAAGGCAACAGATTTCTTAAAAAAAAAAAATCTCCTATTTTAATAAATGTTAAGGCAAAGATTACTTTCCAATATTGATCTATATTCAGACTGCAGACCAAGCCAAGAGGGCATACCAGCCTTAGTGAAAACATAAGTTGCTTTCTGTGGCAACATGGTATTACTGTCACATGAGGAAATATAAGAAGCAGAACTTAAACGAAGTCCACATCTAAAATTATGTTAATAAAAGCTGCACCATTTGGGAACATCATTAAACTAGAGACAGAGATACCATATTAAAGCTTAGTAGTTCCCACTGGTTCTAACCAAGATTTCACAATCCTGTGGGATATACAAGATCAAAATCAACTTATGTGTGTCTTCCCTACTAGGGAAAAGTAACTAGGTTTAAAGTCTAAATATAAACCCAAGTCCTCAACTGGAGATATGGCATGGCAAGAAGATTTAGACTCCTAATGCAGAAATACATTCTTTCAAAGGCTGTATAACATATTT